GGGGTGGGGGGGGACAGCACATGAGCCCAGTATAGTGCCTGGCACACAGTGGGACCTCAATAAACTGTAATCACCCCTTCCCCCTCCCTCTGGGTCTCAGGTGGCGGAAGATGAGCCTGCTACTTTAACTTATGCAAATACACTGCGGGTGGTGGAAGGAGGGGTAATAAATTGCCTGGTTTCTGGATCAACCAATCAGCTCGCGGGACTGAAGGAGCTTCTAAATGGCCCAATGGCTGGCCGCGCGTACTCCAAGCCCGCCCCTGCCTCCGGGAGGCGTCTTGTGGGTGGGGACTCTGGACGCCACGCCCCGAGGGCGGAGCCAGGCGGCAGCCGCGCCGCAACCGCGGAGGTAGGGGCGGGGCGGGCTCGGGTGTCAGAGACCGAGCCGCAGGTGGCGGCGGGCGCGGGGCTCGGCCAGAGCTCGGGAGGTGAGTGCTATCCCCGGGACCCCCCCCCATACCCTGGTCCGCGCAGCCCTTCATGCACACCGCGCCCGGTAGCCCCGGAGGCCACTGGGGGCAAAGGCGCGGCGGGGCACGAGGGATGGCAAACTGGGGGTGGGGGGCTGCGCGCCCCACCCCTGCTGTGCTTTTTCACTCTCACTCTCTCAAAAAAATAAATAAATTCTTAAAAACAAACAAAAAAAGATTTTATTTTCAAGTAATCTCTACACCCAACATGGGCCTACATTGATTTTTCTTTTCTTTTCTTTCTTCTTTTTTTTTTTTTTCCTTTTTGATGTGTTGAACCATGCATCCCAGGGATAAATCCTGCGTGATCACAGTGTCTGATCCTTTTAATATGCTGCTGAATTTGGCTTGCTAATATTTGCTTGCTAAGATTTTTGCATCAAGGTTAATAAGAGATATTGGTCTGTAATTTTCTTCATAATGTCTTTGACCTTGGTATCACTGGCCTCATGGATGAATTAGATGTGTTCCCTGTTCTTTAGTGGTTTTGGTAAAGTTTGAGAAGGATCGATGTTAGTTCTCCTTTAAATGTTTGGTGGAAACTTAGTGAAGCCAAGAAGGGTTTTAATTACTGATTCGGTCTCCTTACTAACAATAATCTGTTCAGCTTTTCTGTTTCTTTGTGATTTGGTCTTGGTAGGTTTCGTGTTTCTAGGAATCTGTGTAATTTTCTCTAGGTCATCCAGTTTGTTGGTTGTACAGCTGTTCACAATACTCTCATAATGCTTTTTATATCTGTAGAGTCGGTAGTAGTGTCCCCACTTTTACTTCTGAGTCTTTGCTCTTTTTTCTTAGTCTAGCTAAAGGGCTGTCAAGAACCAACTTTTGCTTTTGTTGATTATCTTTTGTGTTTTTCTAGTCTCAATTTTTAAAATCTCTGCTCTTCTCTTTATCATTTTGTTTTTTTTGGCTAGCTTTCCTTTTGTTCTTTTTCTAGTTCCTTGGGGTGAAAGGTTGTCATGTTGAGATCTTTTTTTTTTTTTTTTTTTAAAGATTTTATTTATTTGGCAGAGAGAGAGAGAGAGATCACAAGTGGGCAGAGAGGCAGGCAGAGAGTGGGGGAAGCAGTCTCCCCGCCGAGCGGAGAGCCCGGTGCGGGGATTGATCCCAGGACCCTGAGAATCATGACCTGAGCTAAAGACAGAGGCTCAACCCACTGAGCCACCCAGGCACCCCAAAAGATCTTTTTTTTTTTTTTTTTTTATTTTTTTTTATTTTTAAGGGGAGGGGTGGGGATCACAGGTGGGCAGAGAGGCAGGCAGAGTGAGGGGGAACCAGGCTCACCGGTGAGCAGAGAGCCCGATGCGGGGCTCGATCCCAGGACCCTGAGATCATGACCTGAGCCGAAGGCAGAGGCTTAACCCACTGAGCCACCCAGGTGACCCCTTCTTTTTTAATATAAACATTTTTAGGTATAAACTTTCCCTTTATCTCTGCTTTCCCTCAAAGGGATTCCCTCTTTGTCTTTCAGCAGTCAGATTATAGTGGGTCTCACTGTGGATCTCTTTGAGGTCATCCCACTTGGAATTTGTTGAGCTTTTTGGACGTTTATATTAACACCTTTGATCAACTGTGGAAAGTTTGGGGCCGTTATTTCTTCAAAAATTCATTCTGCTCTTTTCTGTCCTGGGACTCCATGTGCGTGTTGGCCCTTTTAATGGGGTCCTAAAAGTCCCCGAAGCTGCTGCTCACTTTCTTCCGTCATCTCTCCGCGTTCCTCGGACTTGATAATTGCTCTCATCCTATCATCAAAAATCACTGTTGGAATCATGAATTGAATTCCTCTGGTGAATTTTCATTTCAGTTATTGTACTTTTCAGCTACAGAATTTCTTTTGGGTTTATTTCTGTGTTTTCTGTGTCCTCGGTGACATTTGTTTCGTTTGTGCAACGTTGTCTTGCATGTCTTCCTTTCTTTCTGAGAGCATCTTTAAGACCGTTGCTTTCAAGTTCTTGTCCAGTAAGCCTGCCATCAGGCCTTTCTGGTTTCCGTTGACTTTTTTTTTCTTTTTTTCCCTTTGAATAGGCTGTACTTCTCCTGTTTCTTTTTATGCCTTGTGGTTGTTGCTGTTGCTGGAAACTGGACATTCAGATTTAATAGTGTGTTAACTCCAGAGATCCAGATCTCCCCCTTCCCCAGGGGGAGGTTTACATGGCTTCTCTGGTTGATGCTGGGTGCTGCTTCCGTGCTGGAGGTCAGTCTGCAGGGGAATGGAGAGTCTTCTCAAGTCCTCTCTGAGCCTGTACCTTTCTCCTGCGTTTGTGAGGACTACGCTAAATCCCCTGTATACAGAGTGGCTTTTTTTTTTTTATTAAGTTTTTTATTTTAATGCCAATCTAGTTAACATTTGGTGTTACATCAGTTTCAGGTGTACGATAACAGTGATTCAGCGCAGTGGCTTTTGAATGACTTAGTCCTTGCATGTCTGGCTCCCAAAAGGGGGAAAGAAAAAAGCGAAAAAGGAAGGGAGGTGGGAGGGAGAAAAGGAGAGAAAATGTTCCCAGTCTCTCAGTCTCATGTAAGTCGGGCAATGTAAGTTGGGGAGGGGCTGCCGGCGCGACTGTCCTGTCCTCTGGGTCAAAAGGCAAATTCCCGCCGTTTCCTGCTGCATCGTCATCCCCGAATCCTGCTGAGTTCACTCTGTCCTACCTACCGCTCTATCAGAATATTCCAGCGTGTCATCGATATGAAAAATTACTAGCTAGTTCTGCTTCCTGTTGCCACACCAGGTCCTGGATGCCTGGGGGCGCCTGGGTGGCTCAGTTAAGCGTGTCTTCGGCTCAGGTCATGATCTTGGGGTCCTGGGATCGAGTCCCATATGGGGCTCCTTGCTCAGCTGGGAGCCTGCTTCGCCTGCCACTCCCTCTGCCTCTGCCTGCCACTCCCTCTACTCATGCTTGTGCTCTCTCTCTTTCTCTCTCCAAAATAAATAAGTCTTTAAAAAAAAAAAAAAAGCCCTGGGTGCTCACATGTGTTCTGCAGCCCCTGCTCATCTCAGCGCGTGCCCGTCACGTTGCAGTGGTTGGTGACACCGCAGAAGGACCCAGGGGCTCATGGGAGAGCAGTGATGATGGCTGGCAGTGATCATAGCTCAAGCTCGTGTCCCTGCATGCTTGCTCACCTGTTCCAGGTGCCTGGGTGTCCCTGACCATGGCTCTGGCTTCTCTCGACCCGTGGCCTTTCGTTGGCTCCTAGCCTCAGTGCCCACCTGAGCTGCCACTTCTTACCCTTGTTGGGCACATTCCAAGGGAGGCACCTGAGGAGCCCTTGTGAGATTTGGAAGGTCAAGGGTCCCCAGCACGGTGGCAGGTGGCTCCCCGGGCCTGTGGGGCTGGGCTAGCACCTGGAGGCTGGGAGTCCTCCAGGGCCCGGTCTGCCGGGCCATTTGGCCACTTGGGGTCTCCTTCTCCTACCACCTTGGACAGACGGACCCTCTGTGCTAGTGTCCGTGAACTGCGCCTCAAAAGAGCCAGAATATGAACGTTTTCAGCTCTGCAGGCCAGATGGCCTCTGTCCCAACAACTCGACTCTGCGCCGTGGCAGAAGAACAGCCGAGGATGTAACCGGACGGGCGTCTGGTAGAACTGCATGGACGACAGCAGGCGGTGCGGAGGGCCCCGCTCTGCCCCTGTCCCGCTCCCCTGCGGCTTCCCTTCGCTCTTCTGCCTCCATGGCTCCTCTCTCCCGTGAGCCTCCCGTCGCCATAGGGGCTTCTCTTCCTGAGTCTTAAGATCCTCACCGCCGCTGTTCCCAGCAGTGAGTGAGGTGTGCTGCGTGCCCAGAGCTGGGGGAGTCATTCATTCTGCAAATGCCTTGGCAGCCCTCTGGACCCACACGCTGAGCTGGGCGGTGTGTGTGATCATAGGGTGCCAAGCATCTGGCTGCTTTCCTGGGCCTCACATCCAGGTGTGTCCTCAGTCAGTTGCTTATGAGACACACTGAGGACTGGGGGCCTCATCCCCCTTCACCGAGACTCTGGATTCAAGACCATGGATGAGGCTCTGAGAGCCATGCCACGTCCTGGCTCTTTCTCTTGTAGTTCTGTCCCTCCCACACCCACTCTGTCTTCCCATTGCCCTTGGCGGCAGGGATTTTCGTCTCTCTTGCTTACTGCTATGTCCTCAGTGCATATTGGCCAGGAAGGCTCGATAAAGGCCACTTGAGTAGTTGAACAGGTGGATGCTGCAGAAGCAGCACATTGTTCTAGGTATCGGTTGCTTTGGGAGCCAAAGCTCTAATACCTCCTCTTCCAGGAAGCCATCCCTGGTTGCCCCGTCCTACCCTCCTTACCTTTGGCCCTGGGTATCTGCACCCAGGGACTAGCCCCTGAGGATATGACCAGGGGTATCTGCAGAGCTCACTGAGTAACTGTCCACACCAGAGAGAGCTTATCAACTATAAGATAGTGAGAACAGGCCTTCTTCTGAGGAGGGAACCACTTGGAGAGGTGTAGGGGGAGCTGGGGCTCGGCTCCTTCCTGGATCCAGGAGCTCAGGACTGACATCGTCCTTCTCACCTGCAGGGTCAGCTGGCAGCCGACCAGGTGGGTCGGCAGCCCCTCCTGGCTCCCCCGTCTACCTTGACCTGGCCTACCTGCCCAGCGGGAGCAGCGCCCGGCTGCTGGACGAGGAGTTCTTCCGGCGGGTTCGTGCGCTCTGCTACGTCATCAGTGGCCAGGACCAGCGTAAGGAAGAGGGCATGCGGGCTGTCCTGGACGCCCTCCTGGCTGGCAAGCAGCAGTGGGACCGTGACCTCCAGGTGCGTGACTACTCCAGGGCCTCAGGCAGTCTTGGCAGAAGGTTGGGTCCACGCCTCCTGCAACCTTCCCGTTGAACGTCATCTTATGAGGTTTGTGCGACCCTCAGCCATCTGCAGAGGGAGTGGGGCTCAGAGAGACTCAGCTGTGCCCCCAGGGCCACGGAAGTGAACGCAGGCGCGGAGGCCCCCCTGCTCCCAGGACTCTGTTCCTGCTGCATCCACCTGGTCTGTCAGCAGCAGCCTGGGGGCGGCGCTAGGTCGGGAGGAACAGGCGGGGTGTCCCTGCGGCTGACAGATTGGAATGTGGAGCCTTTGGGCTGCGTTTGTCCTCAGAGGAAGCCTTGAGGCAGAGCCTTGGAGCAGGAGACAAGTTTGGGTGGAAGCAGGAGCTTCCTGGCCCTCGTGCTGCCTGTGAGCGGGCTGGCACCCAGCCTCGCGGGAGCCCCGCAGACTGGAGGGAGCCTGGAGGGAGGGTCCCAGGCGCAGGGCAGGGCGGTGGAGCAAACCTGGCTGGTGCAGGGGAGGAGCTGGAGGGAGGCCTGGCGTCTTGTGTCGTGAGAGGCTCCCTTCCCCTGGGTGCTGCAGAGAAGAGGAGGGACTTCAGGGCTGGGCTGGCCCCCAGCTACAGACATCTGGGTGGGGGAGAGGGAAAGCTGAGCAAACATGCTCAGAGGAGGAGGGCCTGAGGTCCCAGGAGTGGAGCTGGGGCTCCGGGCCAGGAGGGCCAAGGGTGCTTTCCCTCACCTCCGGGCCGTCTGTCCCACCCGCAGGTGACCCTGATCCCCACCTTCGACTCGGTGGCAATGCACGAGTGGTATGAGGAGACGCACGCACGGCACCAGGCTCTGGGCATCACCGTGCTGGGCAGCAACAGCACCGTGTCCATGCAGGACGAGGCCTTCCCCGCCTGCAAGGTGGAGTTCTAGCCCCGTGCCCGCCACCCAGCCCCTCAGCCCGGAGTCGACCACTGCCTGAGAGTCCCCCGCATCAGAAATAAACCAGGTACCCCACTCGGCTGTAGCCTTCATTCCTTCTGCTGACAGGAGACTTGGTGGCGTCCGGGGGTGTCATTGCCACTCTGCTGGCCTCCCAGTTCAGGGGCAGCTGCAGGAGCCCCCAGGTGAGGCACGCTCCGGCCTCCATGTTGCGGATGGAAGGACACAGGCCCAGGGGTGGGTGGGCCTCTTGGGCAGGGACCACCAGCGGCTGCTGTGTGCTGCTGACCGTGAGGGGCTGATTTTCCCAGTGGGGAAGCTGGTTCCCCTGGGTAGCTGCTGGACCTCCATCACACGCGTGGGTCTGTGACTGGGTGAGATTTGAATCCAAGGCTCTAAGCTCCAAACCTGGGAAAACAGTTTCCTCTCCATTTCTAGAGATGGTCGATGTCATGGCAAGAGAGTCCCACGCGACAGAGAGGTCTTAAGAATTGGAAACCCAAAGGTTACAAGACATCAATTCCTGAAAGATCCCCCTTCCTTGCCCACCCCCTGCCCGTGTGGGGAGACCTAGAACTTAACGTTAGAGAAGGTGCCACGTGCACTGGCTTAGACAGCAACCTAGAAAGCATGCATCTGTCCTGTCACCCGATGTTCATGAGTGGGACTGAGTAGAGAGATGGAATTAAGTGAAGGATCTTGGGATTATCTGGATGGGCCCTAAATCCAATGACAGTTGTCCTCGTAAGAGACAAAAGAGGTGACACTGAGAGAGGAAGGCCACATGGAGATGGAGGCAGAGCCTGTGGCCCTCACTGGAGCCTCCCGAAGTTGGGAGTGGTGAGGGGTGGTCCCCCCCTAGAATTTTCTAAAGGAACATTGATTTCAGAGTTCAGCCTCCAGAAGTGCATGAGAAGGAACTGCTGTTGTGCTTTGTGATGGCGGCCCTGGAGGAGGCGGTCAGCACGGGGCTCCCTTCCCTGGCTGCGGTGGCCCGAGACACCACTTGCGGCTGTGGTGGGTCTTCCACCGAGGACTCGCTTGTTTCTCACAGCCCTGGAGCCGGGAGTCGGGGTGCCGGCTCGGTCGGGCTCTGGTGAGGAGGCGTCCTGGCTAGGACTCCTGGCCGCCTCCTGGCCCTGTGCTCATGTGGAGAGGGAGGGGGTTTGGGGGCATGTTCTCTCATACCCCCTTCTTAGGAGAGCATGAATCCCATTGCGAGCCCCCCCTTCCACTACCTGATACTCCCCCAGAACCCCCGTATTCGCAGACACCATCAGGATGGGGAGTCGGGCTTAAACATTGGAATTGGGGGGAGGGGGCTTGAACTGGTTAGATCTCAGCTGGCCAGTGTCCAGTGTCTGGTTGGCCTGGCCCTTGTGGTTGCTCCCCCTTCAGCAACAACCATCAGAAAACTGAAAAAAATAAAGGTTTCTTACTGACAGGACCTGGAGACCGCAGGGTGACACCCCCCTCACCCCCCGCGCCACACAGTGAGAGGGCGGGGAACAGACACGGGGCCATGTGGTCACTGGTTGGGCTCTGCTTCTGTTGGGGTCCAGGATGGGAGCCTGGGGTTCCCAGGGCTCGTTGCTTAGTGCTAACCATAAACCACGGGAGTGGGAATTTAAAGCGCCAGAAGGGAAAAAAACAAGTGGTCCCAAAGGCCAGTTCTTAAAACCAACCAAGGGACGCCTGGGTGGCTCAGTGGGTTCAGCGTCTGCTTCAGCTCGGGCCATGACCCTGGGGTCCTGGGATCGAGCCCTGTGTTGGGCTGCTTGCTCAGCTGGGAGCCGGCTTCTTTCTGTCAAATAAACAAATAAATAAATAAAATCTTAAAGAAAGAAAGGGAAACCAAGACCTGTCAAACAAGGGAGCTTCAGTGCAGGGAGGCCTGCCTGGCTCTTTATCTACCCGTGTGGCCGGCAAATAGGTTTATTCCAGACGCCCCAGAGGGCACACGGTTCATTCCAGAGCGGGCAGCGTGGCAGCAGGCGGGTTGGTGTGGGGGACCTGACTGTCCTTGTGGGAGCCGCTGAACTGCTGTCAGGCTGTCCTCGTGTGGGATATTGGGACTTGACGGGGCCAGGCCGTCGAGAAATGCAGAGGGCATCAGGAGAGCCCACCCCAGAGCCCAGAGAGGGGTCAGGACTCAGCAGGGTGCCGTGGGTGATGTCAGGGCCCAGCTCAGAGTGCTGCATCCCCGGGAAAGGGGGAGCAGCGGTCTGCGGGGAGCTGCTCAGCACCTGGGACCTGGATCTGCGACCCTGCACCCACTTGGTTGTTGCTGAACCCGCCTATCACCCACTCACAGGAAAGGGGGTACGGGTGTCGCGCCCAGCCGGTATGTGGTGTGGGGACAGTCAGACCTGCTGCTTCTGCTGCCAGGCACGCAGGCTATGGCCCCTTGCCGGCTTTTTCCTGTTGCTAGGTAAGGGGGGCACTTCTCAGCCCCGGGTCATAGGGTGGGTCACTGTGCATATGTGAGGCCACGTGGCCAGAGGTTTCACTGCGGCCAAATGTTGAGTGACAGGTGCTGCCTCCCCTTCTCATTTCATTTGTTTTATTACCAGGTTTTCTAAAATGTGTTTATCTGTAATTGGCTGCTTCGACTGTTTTCTTACATGTGTATCTTTTTCTCATTTATATATCATAATTCTGTTTTTTAAACATACTTTTTAGGAACGACTGGGTGGCTTAGTTGGTTAAGCGTCTGCCTGCAGCTCAGGTCCTGATTCCAAGGTCCTGGGATCGAGCCCTGCATCGGGCTTCTTGCTCAGTGGGGAGCCTGCTTCTCCTCCTGCCTGCTGCTCCCCCTGCTTGTGCGTGTGCTCGCTCTCTCTCTGACAAATAAAGTCTTTTAAAAAGGGGCGCCTCAGTGGCTCAGTGGGTTAAAGCCTCTGCCTTCAGCTCAGGTCATGATCCCAGGGTCCTGGGATCCAGCCCCACATCGGGCTCTCTGCTCAGCGGGGAGCCTGCTTCTCCCTCTCTCTCCGCCTGCCTCTCTGCCTACTTGTGATCTCTGTCTGTCAAATAAATAAATCTTTTAAAAAAACACACTTTAAAATTTTTTCAGTTGTATTAAAAAACATCTTAACATTTACCATCTTAACCATTAAGCTTTTTGTGGTGAGCTTTTTTTTCTTTTTTTACCAGATCGACCTCTCAATTTCATGAGCACTTTTTCTGTAAACATTTTATTTTTATGGTTTTCAAACCACCGTTTTTAAATGTCTTTCTTTTCATGCTTTGAGAGGCTGTTCTTGCAGCTGGCACAAATTCTCCCGTGTTTGTTTTTTTTTCTCTCTGCTTATAATTTTAACTTTTATTTTTATCCATCTAGGCCTTATTTAGGGATGAAGAGAGATGGAGGGGTTGCCCCAGCCCAAAGAGCCAGTGGATGGTCCCCAGGCTGGGTACAGATTTGAAATGCTCCCTCCTCCCTATTGAGTTAAGACCCTAGTGTGCTGGCGTCTGTTTTTTGCATCTGCTCTAATCCGTCACCGGCTTTTCTGGTCCTCTCCTGGCTATTTCCCTGGTGTAGTCCTGTGTGTCTTAATAGCTGCTCAGCAGGTTCTTTCTCCTTAATTTTATTTTTTCCCTTCTTAAATTCCCAGCTGTTTTCACATGCTCACTCTTTTTGGAGTTCTAAATTGTCCACGGAGGGGGCCCAAACACATGCTGTAAGAAACGTTCAGGGGCGCCTGGCTGGGTTAGTTGGTAGAGCGCGTGGCTCTTGATCTCAGGGTTGTGAGTTTGAGCCCCACGTTGGGTGTGGAGATTACGTAAAAAAAAATCCTAAAAAAAAAAATTTCTGCTTTTGGCCGGATAGTAGACTAGATTCTCAAACTGATCCTCCCAGAAAATCAATGAAAATTGCTGGATAAAAATGAGTTAAGTCTTGATTACTGTGTCTGTGAGCAACCAGAGGGTAAGGAGCTGTCAGAGACCAGAATGTCAGCCTAGGCAGGAGCCCCAGGAAGGAAGCAGCTTCTGTGTTAGACAAGGCGGGTTTGGTCTTCTGTCTTCTTGGGCCTTCAGTATGGTGGCTCTGTTAAGACCTCAGAGGGTGAAGTCAAAATCAAAATAAGATTTTCCCAGGAATGGAAAGGAAACTTGGTTATCTCTAGCCTGGCTGTAGGGAGGAAGAGGGGGTAGAATCTAGCCTGGTGTATGGTGACCTTGCTGGAGTGTGCAACTCCCAGCGTTCCTTGCGTGGCCAGAGGCCTTGATTGAACAAAACGGTCTAAAGCTGTCCAGGGTGGTGATGACCGTGGAGGTCTGCTGGATGAGCCCTCAGCCCCAGCCTTGAACTCCCCCAGTCCCATCCCAGGAACTGCGAATGAGCCAGCATCAAAGTCATAGTGTGTCCTTGTGTGTGGGAGCCAGGGGACACAAGGCAGCAGAGACCTCCAATGTCGGCATCATCAGACCCAGAACTGGTGTGTTTAATCCTGAAGTGTGAAGAACAAGACATTAGTGGAAGAGCCAAATAGAAATAAGAGAAATTAGCAGATGGTGGAGACTTTGAACACTGGACATGGCCGACAGTGGATTTGAGCTAGCCGAAGAGAAAACTGGTGAGCTAGAAGATGGAGTGCGGTGAATTTCCCAAACACGGGAAGAAAAGGGAGGTTAAGAGATGGAGAGAGAGCAGAGGCAAACTCTGAAGAGGATGAAGGTGGAGAACTTTCCAGAATGGATGAGAGACACCAATTTACCAGGTTTCAGAAAGCCAGCCACATAAGCAAGGTATATAAAAAAACAGCTGATTCAGGACTGAAAACCACAGGCAGCAAGGAAATCGAGAATGACGTTGGAGAGCCTTCTCAGTCCCACGGCCCAGAACTCAGGACCCAGGGAGGCTGGGAGAGGCTCTGAGAGAAAACTGCAGCCCAGAGATGCTTACACAACAGAAATATCTTTTGAGAAGGACAGAGAAGGGAAGGCCCTCGCTGAACAAAATGCTGAGGGAGCTGTTTAGGGCAGAAAGAAAATGAACCAGGGAGGTGGGTTGACATGCAGGAGGAGACAGCAGAAAGGTGGGAAATGCAACTGAAGGAACATCACCTTCAT